TGGGAGGGATTTACCTCAGAGCCCCTGCCACAAAAAATACATAAAAATTTAATAAAATACATAAAAAATACATAAAATACATAAAAAATACATAAAAATAGTTATTTCTATGAAATATCATTTTTGATGTTACAAAATACCATTTATTTCTAAATAAAAGTTATTTCTACTTATAACCAAAAAATATGTGATTAAGGATTTAATTTATTTTTGCCCCCGGGCCCTTCAGTGCCAGTCTGACCCTGCTTAAATGTAATAACAACAATATCAAACTGATCATAAATAGGTAAGGAATTATTTAACTACCTGTATATTCCAAATTCTCCTTCTAACCGATCTGTCTGAAATATTCCAGGAAAAACATATTGATGATCTTCATTCAGCAATTTTCGGATTAAATCTACAATTCCGTAAAGCATATTCGACAAAGAAATTTTCGTTTCGCTAGTGAATGATTTGTTCCGCTTCCAGCCCTTTCCTCCTGGCATTTTTGCAACAGCTTCAGCAAATGTCAAAATCTCTTGAAGTCGTTTATCATTTACATTTTTGTATGAAGCTCTATTTGGATCATTTAAACGTATGTCCATACCTTCTTGTTTAATATTAAGGTAATTCCATATCAATAATATTCTTTCAAGGAACTCGCTTGTCTCTTTAAAATCACAAATTTTAAGGGCTGCTACAGTCTTCTCATTAACAACAGCACACATATGGGTGACATTTTGTCGATCAATTACACCTGGATGAATAGCTTTGTATGAAAGATTTGTCAACTTGATAACATTATTTTTTTCTTTTTCATATAAACTTACCAAATCTTTCCAATACCCTTTAAATAATTGACTATTTAGTGTCAGATGAATTGTTCCAGTTTTTTCTGTAAGCCAGTTATTTCGAATTGATTTAAACAAGTGCACTGGATCATGAAGCATTATTATACTTTGGTTGCAAATATTACCAAGCCATGGCTCATTTAAACTTAAAGCAAAAAATTGATATATGCTACGATTTGTGGGAAGATTGTCTGAAATAAGGCATAAAATTTCTCCACCAAGTTTAGCAACTGTCTGTGTGATTTCAACAATTAAATTTTGTACAAAAATGCCTGATAGCTTATAAACTGGGGCCATACGACACACAAAAGCTGGTTTTCCAAACATTGGCTTAATCATAAAACAAAGAATTGTCTTGGCAATTTCAGCAGGATTGTCTTCACTATAACCAATTAAATGACATCCACGAAAACATATACTTGGTTTCACATACATTTCATCAAATAGCAGGCAGCAACGTTTTTCCGAAATAGTTAATGTTTCAAACACGGTTTTAATACATTCTTCACATTCCTTTTGTGTTCCTACTTCACCGATTCTGCCTAATTTTAGTTTAAGAGTTCTTGGATGTGGGAGTGAAAGTGTATCACAAAGAATTCGATAACAGCATCTTGAAGAAAGGTATAGTTCTAAAGCTCGTCGTACAACTAGCGTAGAGTAACGCTTGCCTCTCACAGGCATCATCTGCAGTTGAAGTTGTTCAATCAAAAAATTTATTTCATCACATTTTTCTCCATATGTACATTCAATCTCTTGCAATAAATGTTTTAGTTCCTCGCTTAATTCAGGTTTAGATGACTTCATTCTTGAAATAATTGCTTCTAACTGCGACAACCGAGTGAGTTTGTGAGAAAACCCCAAAATATCATTGCAATGAATTTGTGTGTGTTTGATATAAGCATGTAACTGTTGAGTGTGAGTATTGATTGTAACAGAAATATTAGTTTCTGGTGGACGCGAAAATGTCATATTAAAAACAGTCAGATCCAATGCATTTGTAACAACAAAATAATCAGGAAACCTTGAAATATTTAAAAGAATTATTTATTAGTAATACTAACACAAAAAAATCCTACAAAAATTATATTTAATTAGAACTTTTCTTACCGCTGCTTTACATCTGTAAGAAACTGTTTGACTTCAAAATTTTTTATTTTATCAATCTTGTTGAAAGAATCGAGTTCATCACAGAATGAGTTTCTTGATTCAATTGAAATTTTTTCAAAATTTGTTTGACGGAATGTTTTGCCTGTTTGTCGTAACATTGAAGGAAAACACCCAGGAAATAGTGAAGGAGGATCTGATGGAATCTAAAAAGTTTCCATTGATTTTAGATTATCTATTTAATTTGAACTAAATAAAGCTTACAAGTATAACTACGACATTGATTTGAAATTTTTGTTTATATATATGAATTCGACTCGCCTGATATTTAGATCTTTTTGGATAGTGCATACTACACCCCAAAGGCCAGTGCTTTTCACAAACACCCATATTGTCTGTTGGTGATTGAATTTTATTTGGTAAAGCTGCTAACCATCTTTCACATAATTCTTTGTCACTTGGAAATTTGTAAACTTTAACATGCTCATTTGCACTGTCACGACAATTACCTACTTTCCACGACAATTACCTACTGAGCATTTTCTAGGCATGTCTGTAATGGTTTTATAAATTTATTTTTAAATAGAGAATAAAATTAATATTTTTTAAATATTATAACCTTAAAAATAGGTTTAGTTTAGTACAATAATAACTTAACATTCTTATGTTTTTTTGTACTCAACTTTATTTAGTACTAAAAAAGTTACTTTAGTCTAAAGTAACTCAAGTTACTTTAGTGTAAAGTAACTCAAGTACCCCTAAAACTGTTAGTAACAGTTTGAAGACTTGATTTGCATCAAAACGTAATTATACTCAAAATCAAAGAAAATCTTTGTACTGTAATAGTATGTTACTGTTTTTCATTTTTTATCATAAAATATTTAAGTAGTCATAAATAATTAAGCAAGTAATACTCATAAATATAATAATTAAGTAAATAAGTAAGTAATATTCATAATATAATAAGTAAGTAATAGTTATAAATATTTAAATAGTCATAAAATATTTAAGTAGTATTTATTATTGCAATACAATCATCATATAAACATCTTAATAAAAATACTTTTACTACTTTAAAAGTACTATAAAAAGGCTTAAAAAAATAAATTAATTAAAGTTAATACATTATATAATCTATATGAATCAACATTTGTTGCAGCTTATCAATAATCTTTAAATACCACTCTTTTATTTAAGCTATTAACATTACATGTTGGTATATTGAAGGCGCTAAAGTCAGCCCTCTCGTCGATTTCACATCGATTCAATGCCGTGCGTCCCGGACTTTAAGTAGTCCCTGTATATATATATATATATATATATATATATATATATATATATATATATATATATATATATATATATATATATATATATATATATATATATATATATATATATATATAATATATATATATATATATATATATGTATATGTATATGTATATATATATATATATATATATATATATATATATATATATATATATATATATATATATATATATATATATACATATATATTTATATACATATATAAATATATATATAACTTTGACGCAAGATAAAACAGCGTCAATATCTATTCCTAGATGCTAAAATCATCAATTTTATTCTTGATAGATTATATGATTTTCTTTTGCAGATAAACAGATATTACAACTATTATGTTTCATTATACAAATCTTTTTGAAAATTTGAATTGAAAACAAATCAACAAAAAAGTTACGATAACAAAACTAACAAGCTAACAAAATAGTGTATAAAGAACAAAAATAGAACTACTTAAATAAAATTAAATTACAAAAGATATAAATAAAAAATAAAATTACTTCGATGGATAAAAGCATGAACTTCAGTAAGAACATCTTGAAGGGCTAACCCTTTAACAAGCTTCATTTCTGTGATTTCTAATTAATGTAAATTCATACTATAGTATAAAGCATGACCGCTACACCATAAAAATATTTTCTTTATACCATAACAAAAAAACATAAATGTATTTAAATTCTAGATGCATATAATTCCTTAATACATTTGTTATTAACAAATATTATGAACAATTATATGTACTAACAAAATGTAAAAGATTAACTTTTAAAAGCAGTGCTAAAATTTTCATTTAACATCCAATCAACCATGACTTGTATATCTTGTGGTAGAGGATTTCCTGTGCACGTGTAAACTGTAGACTCATCTACTTTACCATAGCCAATGTGAGTGCTCTAAATTGAAAAAAAAAAAAGATTTATCTTATACAATAATGTCATGAAAATGTCCGAGACATAACAAAAGATTTTTTCTTCTTAGTTTTAAACTTAAAAATTAAAAAACTAAAAACCAAACAATAAAAACTATTATATCACAAAGGTTCTTAATCTTTTTTTAAAAGTTCAAAAAACAATTTTTGCAAAAAACTACTGTTCAGTAGGCAAACATACAAATTTCACTTCTTATGTTAATTTTTCAAATAAAGTAATAATATCCAATTGTCATCTTTTATATAGTCAGGGCTTAATTTACCAGTCGGACATCCGACATTGTCCGGCTAAAACCTCAGACTGTCCGCTCAATTTACAAAGTAATCTGACATTTTGACCGACGGGAATTAAATTTTACAAAATAAAGTTTGGACAAGAATGGCTTGTGATCGAACGCTTTTGCTGACCACAGAATTTTTTTTGTTTACAAATTGATCCCGATTGTTTTGATGATTTAAACATTTCAGAAATGAAAAAAAAAAGTTTTTTCAGCGCATTTCAGAAATGCGCTGAAAGGAAAAAGTTAACCTAAAATTAAACTAGGAAAAAAATTAAAAAACTAAAGAATAAGCAAAACAATTCCAAACTAAAAAGAAAACAATTTAGCTTTAAAATAAAACTAAAAAAATCGAAGTAGAAATTACTTTTTGTTACATTTTTAATTGCATTTGAAAAAAATTACTTTAAAACTGATCTTTTAAAATGTTTAATAGAAGTTATGCAAAACACTTACAAATTACTTCTTTTGATAGTTTAATAAATGAAACATATTTATTATTGAAAATAAAAATTCAAAATTTTAAATTTGTATAAACATTTTTTTCAAAAGGTTTCAAAAAAATTAAAAATTAAAAAAAAAATAACATTGCCTTTTTAATATCATAATTTTTAATCATTTTATGATTTAATTAGTAAGTCAAGTTTAAAAAAAAACTTTTAAACAATTATTTGTAAATAGAAACAACAACAAAAAAAATAAAAAATAATAGTAAAAAATAAAAAATAAAGCAATTAAATCATGGGAAGATTTAATTAAACTTATTAATAATTTAATGTAAATTTAAAAAAATAATTTTTTAAAAAATTTTTTGAACGAGGGTACACCACTGTATTATTGTAAACAGAAAGAAATTCTTTGCAGCAATTTCTTTCTGTTTACAATAATATAGTGGTGTACCCTCCAGTTTTTTCCCAGTTTTTATTTCTTATTCGAGTCATCCGCTATGATAAAAAGTAGGTGTAAAAGTTTTTTTTTTGTATTTTTCCTTGAGTGAAACTAATAATATTTTTCAAAATTTTAGATTATGCAAAGTTTTGTACTTTGTTTTCATGGAGCAAATTATTATAAGTTTGTTAGGGAAAAAGCTATAAAAAATAAAACAAAAAACTCACGACTGCAAAAGTAACAACACTCTAGTCTCTAACTACATTATAAAAGTAATCATATTATAATATAATAGGGAACATGTTGATGCTCATTGGAGAGTGTTTGACACGATGCTACACGAGGTAATAGAGAGAAAGAGTAGCAGCACTTTTTTAGATAAGAAAAGTCAACGAAAGTGTATGCTAATATCTAACTTACGCAAATATCTAACTTTCTTCAAATTATGTAACTTTAAAAACATACAAAACATATCAAGTTTTTCGGTTTTACTTTCGCTTAAAAATTGCATTGCGGCAACATCTCATTAAGATTTGATCTGTAGTACTTTATTTCGTTTGATAAAGTCTTTAATATGTTATATACTTTTAAAATTTACGTTAGATAATATGTCTGCGTAGCCGAATGGTTAGCACGCAACACTCTGAGGCAGAAAGTCCAAGTCTAACATTCAATCACTCATAAAAAGTCTAACATTCAATCACTCATAAAAATTCTAACATTCAATCACTCATAAAAAGTCTAAAATTCAATCATTCATAAAAAGACTAACAATAATTCTGGAAGACAAATATTTATCTCCTAGATATACATTCTGGTAAACAAGCTTTGCTGTACATTATGGACAGCAAAACTTGTTTACCAGAAACCCATGAAACAGTTTATTTTTTTTGTAAAAACTCAGCCCTCTAGTAGCAACTGAATCCATTAAAATATTTTCTTAAAATATATAACCATTTCTAACTTAGTCATTAATGTTTAAACTCTATTAAAACTCTAGATAATGCATAGAATTTGTTATTTTTATTTTGTAAAAAAGGTCAGAAAATGTATTTTTGTAAAAAAAATTAAACCCTAGTGCAAACTGAAGACAAAAAAAAAATTTAAAAAAATTTGGCACAATTACCTTTCATAACATTTTGCAACTTTTCTGCTTTATTACAATTTCAAATTCAAAATAAGTTATTTTTCTATACACCCTAATATTAAATACTTAAAATGTTAAAGATTCTTAAACTTAATATTGCAAGTAAACAAAATGGTTGATACAGATTAACAAGGATTAAAATAGTCTTGTATTTTAATCCTTGTTATCTGAACTCATTCTTCTCTAATTGTATATATCTGAACTCATTCTACTCTAATTGTATATATCTGAACTCATTCTACTCATTCTAATTAATCATAGTTTTGAAATAGTTTTTATTTCTTGATTTAAAACTAATGACTGATTTAAAACTTATTTCTTGATTTAAAACTTATGACTGATGTATAATTTAAAAAATAACTAATACTTTCAAAAGGTATGCAAGAACTAAAATATTTATTAATGATGTAACAAATAACAATCTTTGATTACAGTAGTTTCCACATATGAAAGAAATAAAATTATATTTACCTCTTTCCATATGATTTTTTTAAAATTTAAAACAACTTATAGCGCCTCCAAAATCGCTATTTTGTTGATTTAAAAATAGAAAAAATATAAAACAAGATTATTGGCAAACTTCATGGTTAAACTTGAAAATAAATTATTAACAATATATCTTATTAATATATATTGTTAAAGTCATAACATATGTAACCATACAATCCTTAAATTTAAATTTAAATTAAATATCATAAATTATACTCTGTGCTGATAACTAAAAATGAAGTTAAAATTTTTTTTTTTTATTAAAATATAAAAAGATATCATAATTAGTGATCGGCCAAAACAAAAAAACAAGCTGAAACTGAAATAAACCAAAAATTTGGGTATTCTAGTTTGGTGCCAAAACCGAAACAGACATTTCAACAAATAATTTATTAAAACCAATACTGACATTTTGGCTCATCAAAATTAATTTCATTAGAAAATTTTATTCATTAATGTAATTTTAAATTTTTGTCTTTTTTTGTAGGTGTATTATGTTAGAATTGATTATACATGTTTCACAAACTATGATGTCATACATGAGTAGGCTTATAAATAAATACACTTTCTTATAAATAACACTTTGGCTTATAAATACACTTTCTTAAATGGAAAAAAAAAAAAACTTATTTAAACTATTTTAAAACAAACTTAAATAAAGATTTTCAGTCAAAGTATGCACACTGCAATGGCATAATTATTTATGGTTTTAATATTTTTAAGAAACAAATGGAAATGTACTATTTAGTAACTAAAAACTTAAGTAATTTGTGAAAAATGGGCTTAAAATTTAGAAATAGTAAAATACTTTATGAAAATTCTCAAAAATAACTATTTATATATTAGATAAAAATTTAAAATCTTACAAATTTTTTGTTTTTCGGTACATTTTTCGATCGAAATTTTGCTTTTTATTGAATTTATAAAAAGTATTTCAGTATCAGTTTAAATTGAAATTTTGTTCAAAACCGATGCCAAAACAGAATTTCGGTTATCACTAATCATAGTGTCAACTCAATTGTGCTATCAAAAGATATCATAACTGTTTGAATTTAATTGTGATATCAAAAGATATCATAATTGTGTCAACTTTATATTGTCTATTTAAAACATTCAGGTTAAAAAAATTTTAGTCACCTGATATAACAAAACTTCATTCTGACCTGTAAAATATTTAATGATCTTCGCATATCTCCTTTTCCAAGTCTGATCAAGGATTTCATACCATCTTCAGTGACTGTAACGCTATGAAAAAAAATTAAAAATACTGTACTAAAATCCTAATTAAAAAGATTGTTGACAAATATTTGTCTACAATAGAATTATTTAGACAAATACTATTTGTCTACAATAGAAATATTTAGACAAATACTATTTGTCTAAAAATAATTAGTATTATTTGTTTAAAAAAATGTTTACTTTGTTCATATGAAAAAATAATGATTTTACTTTATAAAAATTGTGAAGAGCTATTTAATAAAAAAACTGAGCTAACTTCAAAATGCCTTTACTGTTTTTAAATTAATTTCCAAATATAGTTTTACCTAACTAGTTCCAATTGTACGTAACGTGTTTTTGAACACCCTATAAACGAGTGTTTATTATGGTGCATATAAAGAGTATACACTAGTATAGTGTTAATACAAATAATCATTGTATACACCGTGTGTATACAATCATTTATGTCACGTTTATATTTTTCATGTTTAATGCCTAAATAAGAACAGAAAATGTAATCTACTTGAAGATAGCCAGAATTAATAAAGTTGGTGACACAGTTTGTGAATCATGGTTTCAATATAGAAATGAATTCTCGCCAATCTGGCATTTGTGGCACTTATGTTAAAAGTTTGTATTTAAAGAAGGCAAGTATAATTAATAAGGTTTTATAAATTTGTAATATGCACTTTTAAGCTTGACATAAAATTACTGGGAAGTTTGTAATTTTAAAAACTTTATAGAAAGATTTGAGTATTAGTAAATCATTGGAAGAGTCTTGGAAAAAAAAAATACATCTGTTTTACAAAAACTGGGAAGAATAGCTGTTGCAGATAGATCATTGTGTGAATGTCCGATTTGCAGGATCAGATAAGATACAAAAAGCCATAAAAAATTAAACCTATTAGAATTTATAAATAAATCGTCAACTGAATAAAATAACTCTGTAGACCTTGATGAATCATTTTGCTTGTACTGTCATCAAAATGTAGGTAAGGGTATCAGACATTCACGTAGAGAGAGGGATAAAATTTGAAATCTACAGTATCTCATACAGTCCAAAAATTCAAAAACTTCCCAGAGAGTTGTATCTTCTGTATTAAAGAAATTGGCTGCAAAAGAGGGAAGCAAAACACTAAATCTTGCAACAAGTAAGCTTTGTTTTAAACTTGATTATGTAAACTTTTAAATTAAATTATTATAATAAAATTTATTTTCTGAATAGGTGGTATTTCAATGAAAGTAAATTTGTATCCAAAACAGACACTGCTGAGGGAAATTTCTACCAACACATTATTCAACATAAAAAGGAAAAAAGATTTTCTAATGACTGCTATAGATTGTATGATGACAGATATTAGGAAAGACTTGAGGCGCAAAGGCATTGAGTCCAATGCATCAAAGATCATTATAGACAAGTCCTTCTTTCTTGAAAAGTATTATTACAATCAGACCATTGAACTTCAGCGCAGTTATAAGGTAGTTATTACATATTTTGAACATTGCTTCAAGTATTATAAATATCCTTACAATATATACCCAGTATGCTGGGTCTTTCAGTAAGTTATTTCATTAGAAACCAAAACAATTTATTAATGTATAAGCATTTTAAATTTAAATAAAATTCATTAAAAATAATATTTAATTTTTATTGTTAGGGGCATGGCAGAAAATTTGCCTGTTGCTATTGTGAAGGAACAAAAGAGGAATCCACTGGCTAGTTAAGAACATTTTTTAAGTCTTAATGATTGGTACCTAAAGTATTTTAAAGACAGTGAACAGTGCAAGAACATGCAGATTTACAAAAATGTTGTTGGTCAATGTTTGCTATAAGAAATTCCAAAGATTCTGGTAACTGACATAGTACCACCTCCTGAACTGCATTTATTTGAGCATATAGTGATTCAAGTTACAGATGTGTTAATGGCTGATGAGTTTACTAAAAACTATTTGTTGAGCAAAACAGTTTTCAGATATCAATATAATGGAGAAGGGTATGATGGACCTAACTGACACAAAGTCCTGTCTTGTTTAGACGAACTTAGAGATATATGTCCTCCTCACATTATATGTTCTCCTCACATTATACCCTGCATTGAAACATTAAGGAAGATTAGAACAGGTAGCAATTAATTGAGAGTAAAATGTATTAAAAAAAAATAGATATTTAAGATATTTAACTACATACAATATTATTAACTACTTAAATTTTTAAATCTTGCCAATTTGTTATTAAAGATGTCAATTTTTTCTTACTATATTTTATTGATTATTAAGATAAAACTTTCTGAAACTGTTATTTATTAAACATAAATAGATCAAAGTTACATTTACCAATGCATAAACTAATGTGTTTACAATGAATACTCATACTACACATACCAGTGCATACACCATGCATATACACCATTTAAAGACCCTTTTGCAGAGTGTTTCATTAAAAAATCATAAAAATTTTATAAAAAGATGTGGTTTTTATTTTGTTTTCAGTTGTTTTCTTGGCAGTTTGACATCTAATAGTTTGCCAAATAAATTTACATTACCATGATATTCAACCTAAAACACCTACATTGATGCAGTGCAGAGTGTTGCAACATCTACTGACAAATAGCATGACTCGTAACAGAGTGCTGCTACATTGACTGAGAGTTTGGTTGGGGCAGGCAGTATATCAAATAATAATAATAACAAAAAATGTTTCCAGTCTTTAAAATCAATAAAAAAAACAACAACAACTTAAAACTGAAATTTTATGGTAAAAACTTAAATATATATAATTATATATATATAATTATATATATATATATATATATATATATATATATATATATATATATATATATATATATATATATATATATATATATATATATATATATATATATATATATATATATATATATATATAACTATTAATATAATTTAACCAATAAAATGAAAAGTGTATGTCAAGCAAAATAACAACTTTAAAAAAAGTTTTTTATATTCTTAAAAAGATATTTAACAAAATACTACAAAATATATTTAACACTAGAGGCCTTTTAATGTTTTATCAGTAGTGCTAGTTTAAATGCTGTTATGCAAAAAAAAAAAAAAAACTTATGTGAAAAAGTATAAATTTTAATCAATTAAGGTATTGTTGCTATTAGTTACCATTGCTAATGTCCTTTAAAACAGGAAGTGTTAGTTAAAAGTATCATGTTTTTGTTTATGCAAATGACTTTCATACGACAATAAATTTTTATCACTTTTAAGTTCTAGAAAAACAAAAAGTTGGAGAAACGGTTCCGTTATTTTATTATTTATACGTTGGCAACCATACATATGGTTGTCAAATCTGTCAGTTGAATGGCCAAAAAGGTATTTATATAGAGTTCATGTAACTATTTTTGTCAATAATAAAAATGGCAAGAAAACAAGTTTGTTATAGTAATATAGTATAATAATGTCTTAAATATATTAAATATTAACATAAACATATTATTTTTAAACTTTATATAAAAAAATAAATCAGATTTCATTATCTGAAAACAAACTTTCTTGCTCAGAAACATTTTCGAAAAGATGTTAGTTTCATTATTTTGGTCTTCCTCACTACTATCATCACTTAACGTACTTATTTTTTTTTTCTTTTCTAAATTTTTTATACTCTTTGCGGCATTGTTGTGTTGGACAATGACTTTTGTTTAATTCCCATTTTTGAATTACAGGCATTACATTATATATTTCGATAGGTGGACCGAGTTCGCCTATTCTTAATAAATGTTCTAATTGTTGAGTAGACAAGGAACATCTAAAGTCAGTTTTAACCACATTCAACTTTGAAAACATTCTTTCATAGAGTTGCACACGGGGATGGTTAAAAGTAGTTCAACTAATGCCAAAACATCTTTCCAGCTGATACACCGCGGAGAAGAGAATATTTTTCTCCATGTACACAAATATGTTTGTGTTGATATTGAAAGATACTCACGAGCATACTCTAAAAGAGAGTGCCATTGACTTAAGACATCTGACGCATTAATGCCAGCACGTTTTAAAGGTGTTTCAAAACAATGTACTAAATAAGTAATGGCGTCATCTGCGAACTCATTATTATTAACAGTTAAGTTTTCTACTACTTCTTTCTGATCCCATCCTTCACAATTTAAAACTTTCGGAACAAATTTGAGTATTTGCTTACTTTCAGCTTCTTCTTCTAAGTGAACTTTAATGCAACTTTTTACGCGTTTATAAAATTCTTTTTTTTGGATTTAACAAAATTAATTGACCTGTCATAACTTTTCAGCTCGATATTCTGAAAATAATATTTTACCTCCTACAAGTAACTTTCGAAATCAAGTATTTTACATGTGGGAGTTTTTCAAATTCTTTTTTTTTAAATAAATCCAAGCGATCTTTTATTTTTGTCAGGAAATATATTGTATTAACCATGTCAATTTTATCACTTTGCATAGAAACAGATAACTCTGATGCGATTTCAAGTAAGTCAATACACATACTTAAAAGAAATAGCATTTTACTGACATTCGACTTCGCTAGATAACCCTTAAGTTTAGCTCACTCTATAGTTTTGGCCAATGAATCTTGACAAATATTTTCTAAGTGCTGAATGTAAATTCCCCACTTGTCCAGACACATTTTCAAAGCAGCAATTTTGTGGAAAATCCATTGAGTACCGTTGCATTTTTTGGGTCGATATCCACCATCGTTAAATTCCACTCCTTCTTTGTAAGCATTGTAGATTTCTTATAGTTGACGGAGTTTTTTTGGTGCCCTTTTGTAAAGATAATATAAACGTAAAAGCATTTCATCAATGTCATCAAAAGCCGTTTTTGACAAAGCATCTTTTAATGCAAGCTCTAAGCGATGAGCAACACACCATAAAAATACTATCCAGGGTGACTTTTTCTGAAGAATAACATTAACACTTTGATTACTTCCTCGGTTAACTGAAGCACCGTCAGAAAAAAAACCTATAACCTTACTTTCAAACTCTTCAATTCCAAATTCGTTAGATAATTCTTTGCAGCAATATGCAATTGCGTCGTATACACCAGTAGCTGAAGAATTTTTTAAATTTCTTAAGCCTATGAAGATTGTTTTCACTTCCCACAGGTTCAGGGTCGAAATAAGTTAGATAAACAACTTCATCTTCTAATGACGCACTATCCCTTGATCCATCACATAATATCCCAAAAAATTTAGATTTTGACAAATCAAATAATGATTTCTCTTTTAAATCTTCGCCAATAAAATCTATAAATTCCGCACATTTGACGTTGCTAAAATAGGCGGAAAAAATGCATGGTGCTGAGCTATCAGCTCAACACCATGCATTTTTTCAATCAAATAATATTTCTGTGTACTTTGTAAATGGTAATAATATCTTGATTACCTAACACATTAGCCATTTGTCTTGCCCTTTAATCTAGTGGTAATTTTTTATATTCATAGTATAGTTTGCAACCATATGCATGGGATTTACAAGACTTTGCATGATCACTAACAGCAGATTTTTTAAAATTAGTTGAACCCTGAATAAATGCATTTGAAAATTTATCCATGCACTTAATATTGTTTTCAAATTTCCGGCAGAACTTGCAAGTCAATGATTTAACTTTCCTGTTTAAATCTAAGGAATATTCCAGCCATTCAGATGTAAAAACATCAGCTAATTCTGATTTCCACTTTTCCATGGTTGCTGCCGAAACGGTTCGGAAAGATCGTGAAGATGATGGGATTTTTGCTTGGTTCGGGTTAATTTTCTGGCTTACCGATACCCCTCCGAATGAAGCAAAAATTGTCTTTTGTACTTTTTTTGGCGGTTCAACTGGCTCGATTACTGCAACTGTCGTAACTGTTTGTGTACTACATTCTCCACAACGCCCTACTTTTTTATGTTTTTCGGAGTAACTAACATCATCTTCGGATACTTCAACGGAACAAATGTTACATACTGGTAAGGAACAATCTACACACAAATACTTTGTCTAGCGGTTTTTGCATGCTATGCATAACAAGTCTGACATTATGATGAATTTATACAGTGTTCCAAAAATATAATGAAAACGAGTGCATTTATTTCTAGTGAACGATGATGCACTATTTAACGATAATAATTTAAAAAATTTTACTGTAATAATCTGAATTTCATTTATACTGTTTGCCATTTAGAATGCTAAGTGTTATTTATCTTCAAAAGAAATTCTTACATGTTTATTCATTAAAAGTTAAATCAAATCATTACGCTAGATATTGGTTATTTCAAATTCGAAAAAATCTACATGCTTCGCTTTTACTCATTTAAAGGCGGTTAAATCAAACGCAATATGACATTTACGGGCTATTATTTAATTTATGAAAATTCTAGGCGCTGCATGTCATTAAAATTCGATCAATTCAATGAAGAAAATTTTATGAGTTCTACAGGTTATTATTTATCTACTTTTCAAAAAGACACTCCTTCTTTGGCAGACAATTTTTATAAAGCTACAACTTTTTAATCTTTTATATATACATATACATATACATATACATATATATATATATATATATATATATATATATATATATATATATATATATATATATATATATATATATATATATATATATATATATATATATATATATATATATATATATATATATACATATATATACATATATATATATATTACAAACTTTATAGAAATAAAAAGAAAAAAAATGCAAATAAAGATATAGTTTAAAAAACAAATGATTAAAGAATCGGAAAACTCGAGGAGGACCAGGATGCCACCGAGAAACCACTCAAGCCAAAATAGAATGATTTGGATGATCATAACGTTAATATTTAAATGTGTATCTTCTTAGTGTTTTTTTTTAAATATTGCATTGATGAGATCTCAGCCTCTAAAAAAACACCTTTGAAAAATCTTTTATTATCAAATTTTTAAAACAGCCAGCTTTTCTTTGCTTTACGGTGTCCACGGCGTTTGCAGTAATCAATCAAACATAATTGACTTACTTTGTAAAACAAAATATTTTTTCAATGAGATTTTAGTCACTCTATAACAAAAAAAAAAAAACTAGCTACACCAACTTTCCCCATTTTGATATAACTAAACTTTTTTTTAAGCTTCTTTTCATTATTGTAATCTCCATCTTTTGACTTCTTTAAAAAACTTATAAAAACTTTTACATAATTGAAATATCAGTAGAATTCACTAATGCGACATTTCTTAGATTAGGCGCCTTTTCAAAGTTAATTTGCTGATTCGCATTTTATAATATCCCATTTTGCGATCGTTTTAAATAAGCAATAATTTTAAATTTAATAATATAACAAAAAAACTGTTAAAGAACAGTCATTAAAACTACAATTAATAACAGCGCTTTAATTGGGAATGAATGCCTCCATTATCATATTTTATAAGTTTGTCTAATAGTTTACATTAAGTTTAATTTTGTCAATTTCAAATCAACGAATAAAATTTTATTTTAAAGAATTCAAAATCCTGCCGGACAAAATGTTCGATGACTTTGTAAATTGATTGGACAATCTGAAGTTTTAGCCGGACAATGTCGGATGTCCGACTGTTAAATTAAGTCCTGTAAGTTCAAACAAAAAATGGCTACTCAGCGTTAGGACATCTAGAAGTACACTTCTTATCCCAGGCCACCATGCTTCTACAAATTTATCATTATTCTACAAACTACCATTGATATTTTTCTTCATTGACTTAAAATAATATATAATTTAAATTGTCACATTTTTATTGATAAAGCTTGAGAGAAAATTTAAAGTTAGTAGTGTTAATTAAATATTTCCATGCCAAAATGGCTCTCATGTACAAGTCAAAATGACTATGACCATGCATATGTCAAAATGTAATGTGCATGGCTGATCTTGGCAAAAGATATGTTAAATGAAAGTTCAGAAACATAATTTTAGTTTTCTGTTGATATAAATACTAGTAGCTTTATTGTCAAACTTTAGACAAGAAAACATTTTATGACAAAAAGCATTCATTTCTAATTTTTATAAAGTTTTGTAAAGTTAAACTCAGCGATATTTTGATCTAAAGCCGACAAACAATCTGTAAAAGTACCATTGTGCTATATATTTTTGCAGCTAGAACTGATTTTCTAAGCATTATTCTGCTTGCAAAATTCAGATTTCTATAGACAAATCCAATCATTTCTTAGGATTCTATAATTAATTTCACACCTATTTGTTCAATATCTGAATAACATATTTAGATTGGATTAACATTAAAAGTTATTAGATCTTTTGTGTGAAGATACATATCCCACCAAATGCCCATTAATTTAGTCTAATCTTAAAATTTTAAGATTTACACTTTTTTTTTTGATTTGACATGGAGCTTGTAATAAATTATAACTATTTTTTCTGTATTTATAAACAATTTGATTTAGTATGAAATATTTGAATAAAGTAGTTTAATTATAACAACTTGATTTAACTATATATTATAATATGATGTAATAAATATTTTAACTTTTTATTTTTTTACAAATATTTAATAATATATTTATTGTCTAATAAAATTTAATTTATATTTAAAACTATTTTTATAAAAATTATAAATGAAAAAAATTTAATTTATATTTTATTTAGTAGAAATTACTTTTCCTCTTGAATAACATGCTTCAATCTTAATGATACTTGATCAGCATCCAATGGTCCAAATCGAAATCTGGTACATCGAGACTGAATAGCAGGTATTATACCAGTTAAGTAGTTGCAGATCAAACAAAAACGTGTATTCTCTGTGTATTTTTCCATGACTATTAGTGCATAACAAAAAGTATACTTAAAATGAACTAAACAATTACAGTACATTAATTGCATTAAAATTTAATAAAACCACAAACATACTTCTTCGAAGTGCATTTTGGGCATCGTTTGTCATTGCATCAGCTTCATCAAGTATCACAAGTTTGAATTTAGACCTAAATAAAGCCCCTAACTTTTTTTTTTAAATAATGAAAAGTACAAAAATAAAAAATAAATGATAAAAAAAAAAGCAAAATTATAACAAATGTTAAAAAGGCTTACTTAAATACAGTTCTTGTGCTTGCAAATCCAAGAATTTGCTCTCTAACAATACCAATGCCTCTATCATCTGAAGCGTTCAACTAAATAGCATAATTAGTGTTTAGCATCTATACTTAAGTAAGTTAGAATGGAAAATTATTTAAAAGTTATATACTTCTAAAACCATCGAATGAAATTCCTTAGGAGAATATAGTTGTTTAGCAACTGCTAAAATGGTTGATGTTTTTCCAGTTCCCGGTGGACCATAAAACAGCAAATGTGGAAGTTTTCCTTCTGATATGAACTTTTGAACTTTAAATAGTAAAAAAATATTTTAAATTTATTTTAAAAAATTATACAAAAAACTAATCAAAATGATTTAAAAAATTGAATATAAAAAATTATATACTATTTATTATCTGTTATCTAATCTGCTTCTTTAAAAACATTAATCACTATTATGTAAAGTACATTAACATATTTAACAATAATATTAACTTATGTCAGATATGTTAGTAAAAATTAATATAATTATATAAATTTATATGATGTTTTTAGAAAAAAAAGAAAAAAAACAATATATTATATATATTTCCTTATGGCAGGCAGCACCACGGGGGCACCACCACTATGTCCAAAGTTTCTATTTAGCACAAAATAAGTAATTATCTTTATAAATAAGACAAATTTTTAAAATTTATTCTTTAAAACCATATTTAATAAAATCAATACATGTTTTGACATAAGCCATCCTCAATTGAAATGATATTAAAAATTTATACTATATTAAAACAAAAAAGTTACATACATGTACAAAACAAAGTGTCATGAAAGACAATAAAATCAATGTTAATTACAATTATAAAACCATTAACAAATTTAACAAGACCCAACAATTCAGGCTTGAACAAGAATGGTGTGCGATTGCATGCTGTAACTGACCACACTTATAATAATTTTTCTTCACGATTTGACCATGGCAGTTTTGATCTTTTAACAAATTAAATGTCATTAAAAAAATTGTTACGTTATAAATAAATTTTAATTGTTGATCTATTTTTAAAATTTTATTTTATGCAAAGGCTTTAAATAAAATAAAAAAGTAAATAAAGTGATTGTTTAAAACAAATGTATTTTGTGTATATTAACAAAAGTTATATTTAAATTTTTTTTATGTGGCAGTTTTATGATAAATTTAAATATAATAATTTGTTTGAAACTATTTTCACATCTATTTCTAAAAATTTTTTAAAAGGTAATTTTTTAAGTTTTTTTAAATAATAAGTTAAATAAAATTTTCCATTGCAATGGGATGATTTAACTGCTTTATTTTTTTTTGTTTCTATTTGAAAAAAAATTTTTTTTTTAACTTGACTAACTAATCAGAGCATAAAACGATTAAAAATTACTATTTTAAATAGATTATGGCATTTTTTTCAACAATTTTTTTTTTACAACTTTTTGAAAAATAAATGATTATACAATTTAAAAATAATATATATAACACTTTTTAGTAATTTAAATAAAATTTGTTCATTTCTTAAACAATCATTAGAAGTAACAAAAAGTAATTTTTGCTTCAAGTTCGAGTTTTTTGAGTTTTATTTTAACAATTATATATTTTTTTTTTTGTAATTGTTTTTTTGTATTATTATTATTATTTTTAATTATCTTCCTAGTTTAAGCTTAGCTAGCTTTTCTTTTTTCAGCGGATTTCTTAAATTTTTAAAAATCATTTGAGCATCTAAACAGTCGTGGTCAAGTTGTCAAAAAATAAAATTATTTGCGTGGCCAGCAATAGCGCTCAATTGCACGATATTCCTGTCCAAGCCTGCAATTATAATATAATAAAAAGGGAGCAATAAAAGACAATATATATATATATATATATATATATATATATATATATATATATATATATATACATATATATATATATACATATATATATATATATATATATATATATATATATATATATATATATATATATATATATATATATATATATATATATATATATATATATATATATATATATATATATATATATATATATATATATATATATATATATATATATATATATTATCAGTGGTGTACACTGGATTTTTAGATGTTTGAGTTTTGACACTTTGCATTTGACACGCATTTTGCAATTTGACATGCATTTTGCAAACTCCAAACTTTTGTATGTTCATACTTATGTCAAATGAGAATGTTTTGAAAAAAGTTGTGGTGATTGGAGTTTGGGGACAAAAAAAACCCAACTTTTGGGCCCACCCAGCCCTTAACGTGGGAGCAACAAGTTGATAAAATAATTTCTTTAGTATTTTTATCTAAGTTTATATTCATCAATGAATTTCAAATTTCATGCAATAACCTCTTAGTTTTTAGTTTTTATGACCCAACAAAGTTTACAGCCCCCTCAAATTGAGGGGGGTTAAAACTTTATACGACCATAAATTTCAAAAAATGTAAATATATAATGCTAATTATAGTTACACAGAGTGAGTCAATGATTAAGCTGTTTGGTCATATTTGGCTTTTGCTCTTTTATATACATACTTTCCTTTAATTTGAGTTCAAATTTATTGGAAGATAAATCTAATATAGAAAAACATTTATCGACAGCATGGAGATGTTTAAATATATGCAAGTTTTTGTCTCTCTGATAGTGCTCAATCATTTGTTATTTTAGATGGCAAGTTGTCTTGCCAATATAACAAGAATTACATTTTGGGCAAACAATTTTATAGACAACAAATGATTTGAAATTTATTAGAATCGGATCTTTAGGTGAAAATAGATTAGAAATTTTAATGAAGTGAAAACTAACTTTATGGAGATTTACAATGTCTTTTAATAACCACTTTTTAATAATCTCTTTTTTATAATTTTTCTTTATCTCTTTTTAGTTAAGTCTGATAATTTTTCAATATAGTTTGAAATATTTTATTAATAGTTGATCTTTTGATTTAGCTTGATTAGTATTAGAGATTTTTTCCATTTAAAAATTCAAAACTCTTTTTTTTTTTTTTTTTTTTTTTTACCATGAAGAATAACAACTCTAATCAAAATTTTATTGTGGCTCAAGGAAAAAAGAGTTCATCAACTTTGGATGGTAATATTTTGTTAATCCTAATCCTTATGAGATTTTATTGCATTACAAAAAGGGTTAAAAAGATGAAGTTTATAAAGCAAGATAACAATTATCAGACAACTTAATATATTGCGAACTATGCGGAAAACAAGAAGGATTGCGAACTAATCAGGAAAACAAGAAGGAAGCGAGTTCCAAAGAACTGATGTTTCAGAAAAAAAACTAGAATAAGAATTTTTGGAGCACTTAGGAACAGTCACAGTAAAAGGATGAGACTTAATTGAATGACAAGTAACATTAGAATAAATTTTATAAGATGGCACAAGAGCTAACTATTTAGAGGAACACCCATTATAGCATTTATAGAAAAGAGAAAGAGAAGCAACATTACAACAATGTGACAATGATCAAAGGTTTGCTACAAGAGCAGGTCTAACTATGTTTACAATACGTTTTTGCACCTTATCTAAACAAGAAAGGACATCATTCCAAGATCTGCTTCAGATATCACAACAGTATTCCGTACAAGAACATATTTGAGATTTACAGAGATAAAGAATAGAATCTGGAGTAAGTGGCAAGCTTGATAAAAAGATGCAACCTTAGCAGATTCTAATTTAGAAATTGATTTTATATATGGTTTCCAAGAATGTAGGGTATATGACTCATCAAGTACATTACCATTCATAAATATAGGAAGATCTAGATTGTTGCAATAATGATTAGCTGAAAAAAATTGAGTTTTATCAGATTTAAAGTTCACCAGCAACTGAGAGCCCCATGCTGTAGCAGAAGTGAAATCTTTTTCATGCTCAAATCCCCCCTCCAAGCAATCAGAGATTGTTGGTTTCTTATCAAGACAAAAATAAATGGTAGTATCATTAGCAAACAATGCCACCAATAAGAATTTCTGGGAGATTGTTAATGTAAATTAAAAAGTTTAGAGATTAAGGATAGAACCATGAGGAACTCTATTAGTTACAGGAAACAAAGAAGAATGCTGTCCATTGAGGACAACTTTAATACTAGGATTGGTAAGAAATTATTCAATAATCCTATAGATGTTACCTGATACACTGTAAGAAGAGAGCTTATGGAGAAGACCAGCATGCTAAACTTTATCAAAGGCTTTAGAAATGTTCTTCACACTTATTTAATGTACAACAAAACCTATCAGTTATTACTGTTAACAAATCAGCAGTAGAACGAGAAGATCTTATTGATTATCAGAAAGTAATTTATTAGATTCAAAATTAGAGATTAAGTGTTTGTTAATTGAAAACTCAAAAACCTTGCTTATGATAGGAAGAAGATTAATGGGACAGTAGTTAGATGAGTCAGATTGCTCTCCAGAACTTTTAAAAATAGCAATAACAGAAGAAGCTTTCCAGAAGGCTGGAAAATAATATTCTGAAAAGCACTTATAAATAGTTTTGAAAGAATAGACAACAGCTTTGGAAAACACTACAAGGCTATAACAGGTATGTTGTCCAGACCAGAAGCAGTCTTCTCCGTTTGAAATTTACTGCCAGTGCACAAAAAAGCGTTGGCAGGACAGTAACTATTTGTCCGGTATGCGAGATTTAAAAAAATATTTGTTTTTTTTACTTCTTTAATTAGAATTTGATTAAGAAAAAGGATTTGTTGCAATTTAAAAATATGCTTGAAATTGTTTGACAAGCGCTTAAAAAAGCGCCAGACATAGTATTGGCGGGCATATGCAAAACTGCAAGAGCAATATCTGAACCATACAAGAGAGGTGAAATAACAGATTTGCCTTGTTATAGATATTGTTAAATATTCTCCAGAAGTTACTAGAGCCTAACTTTTGAAGTGATATACAAGATTTTGTGACCTGAGAAAAGAGGGTTTTAGCGTTAAACAAAATCTTTTTACAGTGGTTTCTAGAAATAGTAAACAGACGTCTGTTTTCTGGGGAATTTTTTTGCTGATAGATATGAAAGTAATGCTTACGATTGGAAATTGCAGCAGGACAATGAGAAAAAAACCATGGAAAAGAGTGAGGCTTGACTTGGAATCATCAAGAGGCAATAAAAGATTTCATGCCAGCCAGAACCCAAGATGTTACATAAAAAGCACATTTATCAGCAGGAAGATGAAAGATTTCAACCTGATGGCCATCACGGGGAAAATCATAGAAAGAATCCCAGTCAGCTTCAAGGTAATTGTAAGAGGTATGATGATAGGAGGATTCTGATGATGAAGAAGAATGAGATAATAGTTTTAGAGAGATCAAACCATGATCAGAAGCACTTAAGGGTGAATGTGGAGAAACTGATTACTGACTAGGATCAGACATTAAACATTAAAAATTCTTATCATTTGTCACACTCATTATTTTAGCTTTATTTTAAGAACAATGATTAACATTTATTATGTAAATAAAAATATTTAATATAAAATTATTTAAGTTATTTTAATAATAAATATAAAAATAAAAAGAGAAAATATTACCATTCCCTACAAACTAGAAAACTCTTTAAACTTTCAATATACATTATTAATAAATGGGGCAATTTAGATATAAATAAGGAATATCAAAATCAAACATCTTCAATGAAATTTCATAAAAAATACATAAGATCTATAACAAATACAAACAAAAAAACAATATGTATTTATTACTTGTGTCAATGATGTCCTTGTGTGAAATGAGATCATCAAGGCAAGCTGGTCTATATTTTTCAACCCTTAAAAATATATCAAAAATTATATAATCATACAAAATTTAAAAAAGCTAAAAAATGCTAAAAAAAATGTTTTTAGAGCAAATAAAAAACTTGATTATTTGTCTAAATTAAAATATATTTGTTTATTTGATTATTAGTCTAAATTTGTTTTTGGTTTTAAATTTGTAATAGTCATCAAAATGAAAATCACTTTTACTATATTTATCAAGCAAAAAAATAACAAAATAAAAATAAAAAAAAACCACTAATATTCACTAATACTTTCAATACTATAATAATTAAATATACATAATTCAAACTTTTCCTTATCATTATAAATAATAATAAGAGAGTAGAGTGATTAGCAAGTAAAATTCTAATTTATCTAACAATTAATAATTAATAAAAATAAAAATTACCAAAATAAAAATAAAACTATTGCAAGAATCCCAAGCCAAGCCATTAAAAAATTAATTAAGTATTGGACATTAATTGGAAATAAATTGTTTTGCCATTTACAGCCTGACATTCAAAAAAAAATGTCATACTCCCAGGACCGACGTAAGAGTATTTGGCACCCTAGGTGGACCTGTCTCACAGCACTCCCCCATCCCTAAACTAATTTTCACAAAGAATTGTTAAAATTATATTAATACATTATGTACTTTTATCCTGAAGAATATATACATGCATAATCACATATAAGCGTTTATTTTTATTTATTAACATTTTATATATTAATAATATAATTTCAAAATAAGAAGTGTGATTTATTTTATTTTTTAACATCTTTATTTCCAACAAGGCTGCAATAAACCACTATTATAGTTGGAAGTTACTAGAAGAAAAAAGATGAAGCTTATAGAGCAAGATAATGATTGACAGACAACTTAAAAGATTGCAAATTATATGAACCAGGAAAGCAAGATGAAGGAAGATGAATAAGAATTTTAAGAGCATTTAGGAACACTTAGTAAAAAGATGAGACTTAATTGAATGATGAGTAACACAAGAATGAATTATAGTAGATGGCACAAAAGACACTAACGCTTTAGAGCAGTGACCATTATAGTATTTATAGAAAAGAGAATGAGAAGCAAAACTACAACAATGTGATAATGGTTGGAGGTTGGCTGCAAGAGCAGGTGCAACTATGTTTACAATGCATTTTTGCACTTTGTCTAAAAGAGAAAGAGTATAATTATAAGATCTGCCAAAGATGTGGCAACAGTAGTCCATACAAGGATGGATTTGAAATTTATAAAGATAAGAAATAGAATCCTGAATAAGAAAGTGGCAAACACGATAAGAGATGCAACCTTAGCAGATGCTAATTTTGCAATCGATTTGATATATGGTTTTCAAGAAAGATCAGAGTTAAGAGTTAGTCCTAGAAGATGAAAAGTAGATGACTCCTCAAGTACATTATCTTTCATAAATATAGGAAGATCTAGATTATTGTGATAACAATTAGTTGTAAAAAATTGAATTTTATCTGAATTAAAGATATAGGAGAAACAGATGCTCCTGTTAAATTTGTGTTGACCACAATCTCTGCCATAGGATCATAGATACCAACAAATTGATAATGGAGAGGTTTTAAAGCATCAATTCGATTTTCCAATCTTGTTTCACTCAGTGGTTTAACAGAGAGGTAAAAACAAGTTGAGTTGAAACTTCCCAGCGACGAGTTGATACAGAAAAGACTACACACAAATGTTGCACCAGATCAAAGAAGGTTGTTGCTTCTAAGCAACATTTAACATTATTAACAGCCAAATTCAATGCAAGTGCACAGCAAGGAATAAGCAATGTTCCGGATTGACATCTAAAATTCTTCATTAGACACCTTTTTTTCCCTTTATATTTCTGCCATTATCATATCCTCAACCACATAAGTTTTTAATAGATAAAGACATCTTGCCTAACTGTTTAAAAATAGTTTCAGACTTCCCAGCATCAGTTGTCTTTTTTAGAGACACAAAACCTAAGAAATATTCTTTTATAATATTTCTGGATTTGAAATCACATCCACAAAGCGAATGATTATAGTCATTTGTTCAACATGAACAGCATCTGGTGTGCAAACTATAATTATTGAAAAATACTTGCACCATGAGCTGATTGATTGAGCACACAATGAATTATTTGTTTTATTGCATTGGACAAAAGATGAACCAATTAATTGTGTATGTCATAACTGGTGTAATGTACATGCATTTCATTGTCTTTAATTTTCTGAAGATGCTCATCCACAAACAATGCTAGAAATTCAACAGATTTTAGAAAGTTAAATGACATAATGTAAAACACTTTTTTTTATACTGTCATCTCATTAAATTCCCTGTCTGCTTCATTTCTATGTGGTGTACATAGATACTTTAACAACGAACCAGCCTTTATTGTTACGTACTCTTCATTAGCAGCTTATTGTTTATGATAATCTTTTCCTTTCAGTCATTGTGGATTGAAATAACATATAATTTAAAACAATGTTAAAGAACTTTCAAGGAAGCTTTGAATATGTCAAAATTATTACCACAGAAGTTGAATAAATGAGTAAAAGTTGACACACTTATCCAAAACAACAATTTGAAGATAACAAAAAACCTCATAAAAATTTGAATAAAAAGTTATTGTTGTCAGTTGTCAATATTCTATACACTGATACAGCGAAAATGTATGATCAAAAGACTTTATACTGACACTGGGTGTTGAAACAGACAAAAATAAAGGTATTGTTTAACTAATCTTGAAACAATAAGCCTTACAATAACGATAAAAAAATACATTCGTTCTTGAGACAGCTATTCAGCTATTCTAGGAGAAAAAGGGGAACTGAGCAAAAAGCACAGTAGACAAATAAAAGAGCAGATGTAAACACTTTTGATCTATCTTCTGTGACAGCTCCACAGAGAGTCCACAGCGGCTGGAATCTTTAAATTCAAACAAATATATACATGATATTAGGATAAATGAAACACTCTGAGTCTTATTTCGGAGTGTTCCAAGTTTTACTCTGCTTAACTCTTTTTACATTTAATACCTGAATTATCTTTCACTACTGACCTGTCATGGTAACCATAAAAGCTTATATATTTAAATAAAATTTACTTCATTTCTTTTTTAAGTGACTATTTATTTTTGCTTTTTCAAACACTTTTATTTATAAAGATATTTATTTTTTTAAAGATACAATTATTATATCTCATTATTTAAAAAAATAAATTTAAATAAGTTATTCAAAAAAATAAATGCATACCTAGAGAAACATTGATTTAACAAAAGTTTAACTGTTAGAGTGTAAGATTTACTTTAAGAAAAGTTTCAGCTTTAGAAAAGTAAAAAAAAACACTGTTTTAAATTTCAATTTTTTTCTGTTTATTGTTTTTTTTTTTTTTTTTTTTCACCTCCCCAAGACTGATAAGGAACTACAGATGAGGAGGCTACTTGTGGTTATAACCCTCTCTCAACTCTACAACTCCAAAACACAAACCATGAGGAACAAGGTCGCTATGCAGAAAAACAAGTTTATGGTCAAAAAAATGTATTTTTTTAGCCTAATATTTAATCATGCCAAAAACTAATTGCTTTAAAAAATCTATTAATTTCAGCTTCTGAATAAGAATCATGGTTTCATTATTAAAATCATCGTGTTTGTTTAACAGTGAAAAGTAAAAAAAAAAGTTTTATGCAGAAAAAATAAATCAAAAAACATTTTGGTAATAAAAGTTTAAAAAAGAAGTGTATAAACAAGAATAAAAGATTTAAATAAAAATAAAAAAACCAAAACAAATAAAAACAATGTTAAAAAAAAAAGTTTTCGAAAATAGAAAATAATAAAAAAAAAAAAACTAAAATATTCACAATCACCAATATTTTATGGAAAGAAAAGAAAAAGAACAATTTTAATTAATTTTTTACATTTTGTACATGTTTATATGTTGTGTATAAAAAATGTTAAATATATTTATTTTTTGCATTTTTCTCTATCAATTTAGTTGTTGTTGCTTTTTCTATATTTTCTTGATATTTACTATTGTTTAACTAATCTATATAATGCATAATATAGGCTTTATTATTGTATGTAGTAGTGTATGTATATATTTTTTGCCTTTATTTTGCTTTTTTATATTTTTCTGCTAAAATTTTTTTCTCTCACTCTATACTTCTGAACTTATATGATTAAAATTTTTGTTTTCTTTCACATATTTTTTTCACTCATCTTATCTCATCCATTCATTCTTTATAATAAATGGATGAGATAAGATATTTTCAATATTATAATGAGATAAGATATTTTCAATTGCACAAGATATAATTAATAATATACAATACATAAAAAAAAAATTCTAGAAAAAAAGCGTGTTTTAAAATTGGAGGGTAACCCCGGCTAAAACCATTGTTGAACATATAGTTTAACCATGATTTTACCTCTTTTTTACTATTTTTATTTTTGTTACACAAATATAATATATATTTATTTAGCATTAGAATGTTATCAACACTATTAAAGAAAAAAATCGCTTTAAAAAATCGCCTCTGATATATAAGAAATGGGAATAAAAATGTGAAGGTTAAATAAAAATGTTAAGGTTAAATAAAAATGTTAAGGTTAAATAAAATGTTAAGTTTAAATTTTAAATAAAATGTTGTAATAATAATAAAAATCTTTTCGTTTTTTTTTTTTTTTTTTTTTTTTTTTTCTTTAATATTATTTGTTGCCACTTCATGAATAAGAATAATAAAAATGATGTTTATTTTGAAACAATTCGTTTGCAAAACAAAAGTTTTGAAATTATGCAAAATGTTGAAGTCTAAATAATTTAAAAAAAAAACTTTTTTTTTTTTTTTTTTTCTTAGTCTTACTCCTTTATATTTTTGTTCTGATTCCAACATTTTAATATTATTGTTCCTATTACTTCTTTTTTTATTACTTGTATTAATGTAGTTTACATTCTTTTTTATTTCCTTGTTTTAATATTTTTTTATTTTATTTGTTTATTTTATTAAGGTTTCACTCCATTGACTAGTTTTTAACTATATGAGTGACACCGAACCTAACTTTGTAAATTATAATTAAATTTGTAATTTTTGATTTTATGGTTAAATAAATAGATAGATAAAACAAGTTTTTAACATAAATTGAAAAAAAAAAAAAAGTTAATTCATAATTTTATTTAATAGTAATAATAAATAAACTTGCCATGGAAGATTTGAATCTTTTTGAAGCTCTGCTACAGGCATAATTATGTGCAAAATCTATATAACAGTGTTTATTAAATAATATCAAAAATTAATTAAATATATACAAAATAGTTTAAACAAGTTTAAGAATACGGCAAAAAATAAAATTAATATTTATGTAGCCTTATAGCAAAGAAGTATTTTATTTCTGCATTAATTCAACAAATCTCAGTATTTCAACCAGTACTCATTCAAAAACTTTAAAGCATTTGCTCAAAGCACTCTGTTGATTGAATTAGTGATATAAAAATTGATTGCTGACCTGTTAAAAATATTTTAAATTAAATTAAGATCTAGTAACGAAACCATTTTTTGATAGTTTCAACTGTGTGAGTTGAAATGCTATCTTGTTGAAAGATCAATTATTTGCTTTTCCGTACAAATAACATGGTGAAATAAAAGAAGTTTTAAATGTTTTTTCATAAAACTGCCCAATTCACCCTTCCAAAACATATACCAATATGACCAGTTAAAAATTTGAGCTAGCTTTATTTAGATGGGTCTGGAATTCTCAATGCTTTTCTAAATCTATTCATATTGTAGCAAATAATTTGTTTCAATAGTCTCCCTATATGTGGCATGCTAATGTAGTAAATTCACAATTTTGATTTTTAAATAATAGTCTTAAATATCCAACGATATTGAAAAGTTATTGCATTTTTAGAGTTAGCCTTATAATAATATTTAGAAGAATTTTATATCTTCCTGAAGTTATAATGTTGAATTTTCCATTAATATATCATTAAGGAATTGCGAAGAGACAATAAAATTTTTATGGTTAGCTCAAATGATGTAACATTGATTTTATTATGAAGAAAAGATTTAACAATAAGATCTTCATTGACAATCATACAACTCATGTTTATAAATGCTTTGCAAAGATAATAGTCTCTTACTCATCATTCATTGTAAGATTTATCATCATAAGATTTCCATCTCACTAACTAGGGACTCTTATTGTTACTTACTAAATGTCTCTGAAGTATATATGAAACTTGAATGTAACAAACATATTGAAATAACTCATTATAAAAATGACCAATTTGAAGAATGTTAGCTAAAACTAAATAACTGCTCATAAACTGTAACACTATTTGAAGTGCAAAATAATAAATGAATACTAATTTTGTAACAAAAAATGTTATGCAGTCGAAAATTCTGGTCATAAGCGTGATTTGAACAATACTGTGATGTAGCCAAAAATAAGAAATAGTTTGCTGTTTTAATAGGACGCATTATAACAGCAAACTATTTCTTATTTCTATCTCCCACATTAGCCTTTACTTTGAAAATTTGTTTTGTATACAAAAATTATTTTATCTTGAATGAAAGATTATACTAAATTATCTTTAAAGTTACTTCATTTTATGGAGACATTCAAAACAACTATATTTTTTATTAGTAATATCAAATTGTGCAATTATTAAATACATTTTAATAATTAAACATGTATTTAATAATTATTATTTGACATATGTATTTAATTTTAATTAAATACTGATGTTATAATGTTGTACTGATGTCTGTTATATATATTAAATATAAATTAAATACATATATCAAAAATAAAATTGTTCGACTATTAAATACATTTTGTACAATTTTACCAGATCTAATAACAACAAAAATCACTCTTCGTGAATCTTTGATATATAAAAATTATAATTTCGCGCTTCATTTTGCCGCAAACATTCATTTGGAACTACGGAAGTATAAAACGATATAAATATAAACATGTTTATATTAAGGCGATTTTTATTTATTCAATGCTAAAGTATAAACATAATAAACGCATACATGCGATACTCTAGACAGAGTATCGCAAAATAAACATTAATACTTAACGTTTATACTTTAGCATTGAATAAATAAAAATCGCCTTAACTCGAACTAATATCTCATTTCTGTCAAAGTTCGACTTAACAGGACTTCGCTTAAATCGAACATTCGTTAAGTCGAACCATTTTCATTAGTCCCTTGGAGGTTCGAGTTATCGGGAATTAACTGTATCTTTTTTTAAATCCCAGTCACATTCAAATAAATGAATGTTTTATTAAAAAGTAGTAGATTTTGGTTTTCTTTGGCAAATGCTAATTAATAAATAGAATTTAGTCAATTAGCAATCTTTGGTCAGTTATCATTTTATTGTCACTAGTTTTAGGTGCTAGTATAGTTTTGTATGTGTTCGATTTTTCCTGGGTGCGTATGCATAGAAGCGTTTTGGATTTTATGTTTTACATCATTTGCTAAACTTATTTCATAATCATGAATAGATTTATGATTTATTTTTTAATTGTTTTATTGACTAATTTGTATTCATTATTTAAGGTTGTATTCTTGAAGTTCATATCAAGTAATAAAAAGTAATACAAGTAATAAAAAAAGAAGTAATAGGAACAATAATATTAAAAATGTTGAAATCAGAACAAAAATATAAAGGAGTAAGACTAAGACAAAAAAAAAAAAAAAAAGAGGCCTTTTTTTAAATTATTTAGATTTCAACATTTTGCATAAATTCAAAACTTTTGTTTTGCAAACAAATTATTTCAGTAGATTTCAAAACAAACATCATTTTTATTATTCTCTGCACTATAAGCTCAATTTTTTTATAATTTTCTTGAAAAAAAAAAAATTGTTGGTTGATCAACAGCCATTTAAAAAGTTTAAATATGTATAGTCGAACTTTGACAGAAATGAGATATTAGTTCGGGTTAAGGCGATTTTTATTTATTCAATGCTAAAGTATAAAGATTAAATATACACTATTATAGTAATAAAAAGTATGAAAAAAGTTCAGTGAAAGAAGCTACGTATATCCGCTTTAGCTTTTTATTCCATCCTTTGTAAATTGCCGATCAATTTCACCAAATTCGTTAGCATTAAAAATCTTGTTCAACTTAAATGGTTAGTAACGTGGTTTCCTCCTATGGTGCTACCCCTTCACTTTTACAGGCATTAGCTTCACCAGAAACCGTTTTAAATGATATGTTGTGTCGTTACTTCCAACGGTCTAACCAACCATCTGAAGCATGAAAATTTGTAACGTTCACTCTTTCAGCAAATTCCATGGTTTTAGTTTTGAGAATTAAAGCAGAGACAGTGACATCTCTGCTACGAACAATTAGAAGCCATTTGAAAATGGCTTGATCCAAATTTACAAATAAACCATTCCTCATACGCTCACGTTTTGGGTTGTTTCCTTTCTCCTCAGCATCAAAAGTCTTTTCCTTGTTTCTCAACCAGGTAGATAAGATCTTCTTTGGTATAATATATCTTAAAGCGACCTTTGACTTTGAGATGCCATCTAATACTTCCTTCAGTGCGTTGTATTTGACTTTAACAGTTTTTGTATTCAACTTTCGCTTAGTTGCAATTGTCACCATGTTACAAACTTTGATTTTAAAAAGCAAGTATTCACGCCCAGCTAGCACACATACGTTGTTAAAACATTAGAACAATGTTTCGTTAGCCCAACATCGGCTACCAACGTTGTTTTTATATCATTATGGTTAAAAATATATATTTATATATAACGTATTAGTATATATGTGCATGTTATACTAATACGTTATATATAAATGTATACGTTATATACATTTATATATAACGTATTAGTATAACATGCACACAAAATAAATAATATGCAAACAGCCGACGTGTACATTATTAATAGTGTAATAAGCTACAAATGCTTGATCATGGAAACAAAAATCATGTTTGTGTTGATTGTGGTTTGATTTTTTAATAATTACGGAAGATTTTGTTTAAGTTATATAATTTCGTAATAGCTATATTTGGTCGAATACATTGGATCAACGTTGGGTTTAGTTCGTAAAAACAATCAACTTTTTGCGATGTATTTACATACCTTGGATCAACGTTGATTTATATACATTGAATCAATATTATATACATTGAATCAACGAAATATATACATTTGATCAACGTTGGGTTTAGATCGTAAAAACAATCAACTTTTTGCGTGTTTTTACATACATTGGAAAAACGTTGATTTATATACATTGAATCAATGTCGAGATAAATTCATTGGATCAAAGTTGGGTTTAGATCGTAAATACAATCAAACTGTTTCGATGTTTTTCCATTCATTGGAAAAACGTTAATTTATATACATTGAATCAACGTCGAAATATATACATTGGATCAACATTAGGTTTAGATCGTAAAAACAATCAACTTTTTGCGATGTTTTTACATATATTGGACCAATGTAAATTTGCCAGATGTTTTTAGTTCCGTCGGTAATAATTTTATCATTAACCAAATGACATTGGATCAACGTTGGTTTTGCATTGGAAAAAAGAGCCGACGTTGATGATGGTTTTATATACGTTGGGCCAATGTAAGTGTGCTAGCTGGGCGCTGTACACTTAAAAGATATTCAAAAAAAATTTAGCAAAAAAAATGCAATACAATGTCTTCTTTAATGTATTTTATGTTTTATATGGAGTAAATACTTAAAAAAAAAATTTTAATCAGGTTTTTTTATTAGAACTGTTTATTACATAATTATTTATTAGAATTGTTTGTAATGAAAACAAATCTCTTAGGGTAGAAAGCAAGAAATGAATTTGCGTTAAGTTTGACTTGAACTTTACATTGTAACCAATTACGGCAAAGTATTCTTTTTAGGGGAAAACCCATACCTGCCCCTTGGTTACATAATAAAGTTCAAATCGAAGTTAACTCAAGTTTGCATTTATCCATTTTACCCTAAGTTGCGATAACATCAGTCCTTATGTATTAAAGTATTATGCAGAAGGATTATCTAAATCTTTATCTATAATATTTTAAAAATCAATTCATTCAGGAGAACTGTCAGAAATATGGAAATCTGCAAACATTACACCACTTTTTTAAAAAGGAAACAAGAAGGATACGCTCAATAACAGACTTGTCCTTTAACATCGATACCAAGTATAATAATGGAAAAATATTTAAAAAAAAGCTGACAATTTATATAATAGAAAACAATAAATTAACCATTCAACAATATGAATTTGTACAAAATAATGGGTGCGTAACAAACTTATTAGAAACTTTCAATATTATTGCAACTGAAATTGAAAACGGTCATCCAATTAATATATTGTTCCTAAATTTTGCAAAGACATTCGATAAAGTGCCCCACCAATAAATTATTTATGAGGTTTCAAACAATCAAAAAAAGGCAATATTTTAAATTCGATTGAGAACTTTTTAAAAAACAGAAAAGAAATAGTGGTAATGTGTGAAGCTATATCAGATTGGTGCGAGATTTGTAGTGGTGTACCACAGGGTTCACTATAAAGTCGTCTTCTTTGTTATATATCAATGATCTTCCTGAATTTATCTCTTCGATTGTAAAATTGTATTCAGATATGCATAATGGCATTGGTTTGTCAACTGAATGGTCAAATTTATGGTTAATGGAATTTAACATATGTAAATGCCGTGTTGTGCACATAGGAAGAAAATATATTAACAACAACTACACAATGAAACAAGACAATCAAAGTTTTCTGATAAAAACAACAACAAAAGAACTAGACTAGAAACAACAAAAGACTTCTAGGCTAGAGTCTAATAGTTTTATCCTTTACACTCTAAAAAAATATAAAATATTAAAAAATAAATATTAAAAAAAAAGAAAAATGTTTTAAGATAATAATCACTATATAAATATACTTAAATCATTATTATATGTATTGGTGTGAACATAAAGAAATATAATAAAATTAATAAAATAAATTAAAAAATAATAAAACAGTGTCTAAAGTTTACATATACAATGTTAATCAACAAACTTGCGCAATTTATAAATATTTAAAAAATATATATTATATAACTTTAGAATTCGGTACATGATGACACCAATCAAAATTACAAAACGAAAAAAGATAACGAATTTAAATCATGTTTGTTTTACAATATATATTCATTTAATTGATCATTAACAAGTATTTTGAAAAGGTATAATAGCCTTACAATTGTTACTTGATTTTGATGCTACTAAATAACACAAATTAAAAAGGGTATAATAAATACTAATTTGAAGAGTTGTTTATAACTATTTTTCAAACATATGAGATTACCATAGCTTCTAAGTGTCGATGCTTCTAAAGAATATAAAATTAAAAGGATAATAAGCAAATGACACTTAAATAATATATGGAATATATTATTTAAGTGTCATGTCTTATCATTGCTAACAGATGTCAATGCAAAATATAAAAGATAACAAGCAAAAAAACATCTTCAAAATGTCATTTATAATGATTTAAAAACACATCATAAAATAGGGTATAACATAAAATCATAATTATTTAATTGGTTATTTACAAATATCTCGAAAAGGTATAACTTTGCCATTGCTATTGATGTCACAACTGCTATTGGTATCACTCATAAATAAAAGAAAAAAAAAAAGAAAACAGGCAGACAACTTTATCAAAATAAATGAATTATATACATACAGTGAAAAGATACTTGACTTTACCATTGGTACCAGATGTTGATGCCATCAGTAATAAATGTTGTAGCCATAAAACAACCCAAATTAAAATATGTGTAATATACATTAATTTGAATAGTTGTTTATAATAATTTTTAAAAATACAACATTACCATGGCTACTGTGTTGATACCACTAAAGAATATAAAATAAAAAGTCTAATAAGCAAATGACATCTTAACA